GTCAGCGTCCAACAAAATGGAAAGATATAGATGATGGATGACACATGCATATACATACGTAGCGTAATAGAGGAGTACTTTTCTAGCAAGAATTCATCTTTAATTGACCAAATGAACTCTGATCTTCAATCCTACCGCTACAACAGTTAACAGTATATTCGAACCAAGGCTTTATTTATGGTTAATGATATCTAAAAATTCAGATCGAATGCTTTATCTATTATACATTGGATTGACATGATCCAACTCATTATTTGATTATTTATTTATATTCAAATTATTTTAACTACAATAATATCTTAATTAATCCAGAAATGCAACGCACGTACGTACCTTGAAATGTACCATCAATTCAATTTTGCTTTACTTATTTATTTAAAAACCAACAACTGATCCCATGTTAATGGTTGAGAAATTAAAGTACTCCCGTTCCTAGTTAGTTAAATACGGTACGGGAATTAAACGAGGTTTAATACGTTCGCGTTTTATTCGGTAACATGAATGAAAAAAACGGTCAAAAATTCGTTGAAAAAAACGTTGACTTTTATAAAACGTGTAAATACGTATACGTCTATAATACGTCATCGGTTACAAAAATTCGGACAAAAAATACGGGGCATTATTTTGAACATTTAAAGTATATACTTTATATAAAACAACATATATAGTAAAAAGAAATAAAAGTACACATATTCATGTAGCAAATTCCATTACTACATAAAAATAATTCGTAATTCTACCGGAGAGCCTCCAGGACAAGGAGGCAAATTCCATTGCTACCTAAACATAATTCGTAATTCTACTGGAGAGCCTCTTGGTGCAAGTCCAAGACATAATTTTGCAAAATGACGTCAAAAAATAAGGCATAATAACAATAGAATGAGACTAAGTTAAAATCATTATCTTTCTATTATCATCAAATAACACTCAAGTTATACTCATAATTTTCATCAAAATGACGGATGACATATGAGAAAAGTTGTGCAATTGCTACGCTTATTATTGTTTGTGTAAAAGTTTATACTAAAAAATGTCCAGTTTAGAAAAACCTTAATTTTGATAAGCTTGTTTGAAAAAACATCAGAAATCTAGTACTCCCTCCGTCCCTGAAAGAACTTTCAACTTTCCTTTTTCATTCATATCAAAAGAACTTCCACTTTCCTTTTTTGGTAATGAATTAGTGATTCACAACATTTCTTACACATTTATTTATCTTTTGCACAACTCTCCACAACACAATACCCACTTTCTTAATATGTGTGTCATTTGTACTATGAAAGAACTATTAAGGACGGAGGGAGTAGTGTTTTAAGTTTTAGTCTTTAGGATGCTAGCTTTAACCGTCATGCAATTAATTTTAGTGATTAATAATTGTATTGTAATTAACAATACAAAAACACGGGATCACGAGGATCGGAGAGTGTTTTCATTTCTACTTTTAAACTATTGTTGATCTTCTATGCATTTAATGCATTCGTTTAATTGATCAATTCATGTTTCTGTTTTTTGTAAAATACGGGAAAAATACGTTTTATACGGGAAGTAGGAGTTTTTTTCCTTTTTAAACGGACTGACATTATTTTTCGTTTTAAACGTGTTTTTTTACTCAAAAAAACGGTACGTGTTTAAAACGCGTTTAAAACGGAAAAAAGCTAACTAGGCTCCCGTTATATATATGGTGTACACGTACTATAAATACACACAAATTTAGTATATACTCCCTCCGTTCTTAAATAAATGCAACGGTCAATATTTCACACTTGTCGAGACATAACTTTGACCACTAGTATATATATAAATTTATATTAGTAAAAAAAATTAAAAATTAGATTTTGAAAATTTACAATGAGACAAATTTAACAACATTTTTTTTCATAAAAATATATTCATACATTAATAAATAAATTAAAACGTAGTCAAAGTGGAACATGGGAATAGTGTAAAATTCAATATGTTGCATTTATTTAAGAACATAGATAGTATATAGTAAGTGAATTCAATCATGCTTTGTGCAGGCGATTTTTGTACTCGCCATTTTACACGCCGAACAAATTGTAGATGTGTTGACAACTTTTTTTGTTTTGGGAAGGAATTTTTTTTCGCGCCGGGACATCTTTTTCCCATTTATAGTACATATAAAAAAAGTTGCCGGTGCAAAATGCAATCACCATCACAAACGAAAAGAAATTATCGAGACAATTTAAGTGTAAAATGACATGTGTAGAGATCGAACTTGTACCCATAGCATTATCCAAGTGAATTACGTACGTACCATTGATCAGTGTAGGCATGTATGGTGGCGAAGTCAATGTCTTGGAGCATATGGCTGGTGAGGAAATCCGTGCCGACCGAGTAACCAGGATTGTATATCTGTCTCTCTGGCTTGCTCTCTCCGTAGAAACCCTCCATTCCCGTTTCCAACAAGTGTTTCTTGTCCAATGATTTCACGTAGCTTGCCATCTCTTCTATCCACCCCTGCACGTATTTTCCAACGACCATGGGGAGTTTAATTTAATTAAGAGTCTTGCCACTTTTAGTCTTTGACATTTTTTATATTGGTTTTTTCTTTTTTTCTTTTTTAGACATTGACATGAATTAGAGATACTTTTGGTACCCCTTTTAGAAATTTTCATATATATGTAATCCCTTGACTTTCATAAAAATAAGTTTTGATGCTTCAACTATTATAATATTGTCATTTTTAGTCCTTTACTTATTATGTCAAAATCACATTAAAATAACTAGAAGTGTCAATTGTTATATTCAAAAGGCTAAATGTGAGAAACTTTGAAGTCGAAAATTAAAAGCATCTCTAGCACAATATTTAATAGGGGACTAAAAAAAGGTTAAAAGTCGAGTATTAAAAGTGTCAGTGACACAATAGCCGATGGATCGAAAGTGACAAAAATTCTTTAATTAACTTGCAAGCTATAAGGCTCGTCCATAACGTACGTACGTACATTAACGGTCTTCCCGGAGTAATCCACGTTGCAGCGAGGCTCGTTTATGAGTTCCCATGCCATGATCGTTGGATCCTCCATATATTCAATCCCCGTTATAGTATTCATTCTTGTTATCACTTTCTGCAAAGGCCCGCCCAAATATTGTCAGACATACTTACTAGTAACATATAGATATACATGAAAAACGAGAGAAAGATATCAATAAAGAAAGATGCATGCGCACGGTAATATATAAGGGCATATATGTACAAGTAGAACTAATAATGTTTTATTCTTAAAATATGACTAATTACATGAGTCCTATTGTAGTAAGAAAATAATTGGAAATTAATCCTACTTAGCTTTTGCACTTTGTGTATATATGCATGCATACTTTACTCTCATTTAGCAAATTTTGATTTCTACGTATTATATTTTAAAGAAAACTGTCAAATTAAGTCCTCGAACTTTCATAAAAATGTCAATTAAGTCCTTCTAAAGGAGGTTCTGTCCGGCCGTCGCGATTTGGGGTAGTTCCCGGTGGATTTTTTTGATGAAATTTTTTGAGCATCGTATTCACCAAGTCTAGTTTACTCATACCAAATTTCAACTAAAAATTCAATCGGGAACACATTCTAAATAATTCTTGAAGATAACTGCGCATTTTTGCGTTCTCGAATTAATTTGAATGCACTCCCGATTAAATTTTTAGCTGAAATTTGGTATGAGTAAACTAGACTTGATGAATAAGATTCTCAAAAAAATTCATCAATATATTCCACTGGAAACCGTCCCAAATCACTTTTTTATAAAAGTTCGAGGACCTATTTGACAGTTTTCCCTATTTTCTATAACTATTGCTTGGTTCTTTCTAATGAATATACACTACAAAAAAAACATGAGATTGACAGGGATTTGTCAGGGATTTTGGTAGAGATATGCCAAAAACGCTTTGACACGAGCTATTTGACACGAAAAATCGGTAAATCTATGCCAAATTCCGTGTCAATCCGTTATTTTTTTGGTAGTGATATAAATGAATTATTACGCGCGTACCTTAACATGGTTCTTGTAATATTCCTTTGGGACGGGATGAGTATAGAAATCGTCTTCGCTGGTGATTTGTGTTCCATTATTCTTTGCCCATTCCGTATATTGTGCTTTTCCTCCAAAGTCATTGTAGTTGTTTACAAAGCTAAGTATCAAACGCACCCCAAATTTTCTTGCCTCCGAGATCGCAAAATCAAGCCCCTATATACGTACAATGGATTAAGTAGTGATAATAAGAAAGGTCAAAGGTAGACCTAGCTATAGCTAGGTAAATAACTATACATACACCTGAAAAACACGTTCGTCGTAGACGGCGGGGGACGTTTGGAGTGCGTTATAATGGGTGCCGTCACTAAAAGCCCAAGTGCGGCAAACGGAGAGACCGGCGGTGGAGGCTTCCCTCAAAACCTCGGTGACTTTGTTCCTCTCCCCGACATCGGCGGCGACATGCATCAACCAGTAGGAGTTGAAACCGTTGAAGAGGTAAGGAGAGCCGTTGAGCTCGAAGTGGCCGCCGTCTACCGTTATCCACCCCTCCTCACCTGATCTCAGCTTCCTCCGGCCACCTTCTGCTGCGGCGGCTGAAAATAAGGCTAAGAACAGGAACAGTACTCCAATACCGTTGTTACTTCTCTTCCTTGAGAGTTTCATGTTTACTAATTTGTTTTGCTGCTAGCTAGAGCCTCGAGGACGTATATATAGATACCTATAGATATATTATGAGCATGCATAAATGCTAAAGGACTGCAATTTCTATATTTATAAAATGGAAAGCGTTGAACGTCGACTACTAGCGGCCTAGCTACAGTATTATTTTATCCTTACGTGTGGCAGGTCATAATGCTGTCGCAAATTTCAGATAAACATGCATACATGGGACGATGGGGTTTAATTAGATGCCTCATCTAATTCCTAATTTTTTTTATGTCGGTCTACCTGATTAGGTATAAGCAAATTATTACAAATATTCATTCATAATTATATGTTCCCTGGGTTTGATTTTGACGCCTGAATCAAGCAACTACATGATCAGGTATGACATGTACATGAGTGGGAATATGAGCAAATTTTCAAATCTTTACTTTTTGTTGTTCTTTTGCACATTTATTGGTCTTTAAGGATCCATTGTTGATCCCTTGGATGACCTTGACTTGTTTTAGGCTCAAAATAATCTTAATCTAAACAAATTACGTACAAATATATAAGAAACTAAAGTATTTCACAAAAAATGTGTAATTCCATAACAACAAACATTGAAAACTAGTTAAAAGTACAAACATAAACATTAAAAAATGTACACTATCAAACTCTATTGATTTGATAGTGTATTGATGCGGTTAATAACCTAACATATTGATTGGATAGTATATTAGTTAGATTGCTAAATATATTAGGCTATTAGCGGTTGCTATGAAATTTAATTGTAGAAATAAAATGAATACTTCGTATAAGACATGCATAGAAGTGATACAATCAAATGTTCGATCCACACACAATTACGGCGGACATCTAAAAGGGCAAGAAAGACGAGGCAAATGAAAAGGATTGGATTAGAGAGTATTTAGTAATTGTGTTAAATTAGAAAAACATATTTAACGTACGTATAAAGAATTCATAAATAAATAAATAAATAAATAGTGATGGACACCGGCCAATCCAACTAATAGTCTAATATATTTAGGAATCTGTCTAATACTCCGTATATATTTAGGAATCTACCTAATATATATTTTGGAATACTTTGTATTTTTGCAACTCTTCTACTCCGTATTATAAATATATCTGTCAGGACTCCTATTGGAGTACTCTTTCCAATTATTTCACATGGTATCAAGATCTCTATGTTTGTAGATACAATTTTTTCCTCTTTTTCGGTTACCATAAACCCTAGTACTGCCGCCACATCTACGGTAGTCTCCGATTCTTTGAGGATGAGTGCGGCTGATATGGCGCAGACCACCTTCTCCGCGTCGCTGATCACGGTGCTTGCTTCCAACGTACCGATGGGTTCGCCGCTTGCTGCTGCCTACGTCCGCTCAGCCCACCTTCTTGGCGCCGCTGACCATGGTGCTTGCTTCCAGCGCACCGTTGAGTTCACCGCCCGCTGCTGTAGACCTCCATTCTCTAGCCGAGTCCGGTTCGACCGCTCGCATGGCCGTTCTAGAGCGCTACGCCTGTCCCACTCTCTCTGGCGACCCTGGCATGTTCCCATCGTCTTCTGCTGGGCCAGTTGGCCGTCAGCCGGGATCCTCTCCGCTGCCCACTTCCTTCGCTGCTCTTGTCCAAGGTATCTTAAGGGGTTTCAAATTATGGATCAGATAATATTTGCTGTTTTTCTTGGTCCTAATTTGGTTTCTTGGAAGTCCTATAAACAACCTACTTGCTCATGGAGATCTTATTGTCAAATTTGTGCCTTCTAATCTTCCGTTGGCGGATACATTTATTAAGAGTTTTTTTTAGTTTGCAATTTCATTTTTTAAAAGACAACATGCGCGTTGTATCTCCCGCACAGTTTGAAGGGGTGTAATAGCCTAATATATTTAGGAATATTCCTAATATATATTTAGGAATCTACCTAATATATATTTTGGAATACTTTGTATTTTAGCAACTCTTCTATTATAAATATATCTGTCAGGACTCCTATTATAATACTCTTTCCAATTATTTCACACCAACAAGCTAGGAAAATACAAATTCAGAGTGAACGTAACATTTCTTGAATCATCCACATGTATGTATGTATTTTTTTGGGATAAAACGTATGCATGTATGGATGGATGGATGGTACATAGTTGTAGTTATGTTCTGTTGGAAAAACATTGTGATGTGAGATGGGCATACAAGATAAACTCGAAGGATAGGATTTTGTAGATGGGATCACCACCATAAACTTTTTATATATCTACCGGAAGTCGTTTAAAGCAAAGCAAAGCATTTTTGTTTGATTTTACAAAATCTGTTTTGAAAATTCAAATTGACCTCATCACTTTGTATTCTTTTCGATCCTCTCTACCATTCATTTAATAGTCAAACTCACAACGCACGCTTTGACCCATCCCCATAGCCATAAGTGTGACGTCTTTGGTTTTTATCTAAATAACAATCTTACTATATACGGTTATGCACTATCTCTCCGGGCGGATGAGGTGATATTTAGGCAGAAAAAGTAACCCAGTAACCCATGGGCCATTGGGTAAAACAATTAGGACACGTTTACTTTACGAGTTATTAAAGGATGCATATTAAGACTCGCGTTAATAAGCGGCGCATAAATAAGCAATGTTGTAAGATCATGTTTACTTCAAAGGGTTTAAAACACCATTTAACATTAAAATGTCCAAAATAACCCTATATATATATAGGTTGGATTAATTGAAATCCTCAACTTCTCTCAGTTGCTTGCTTGCGTAGACTATTAACATGTGTTCTGTTTGTTAATAGTTTTGTGATGGTTTTCGTTTTGAACTCAAGGACAGATTGGTATAGTTCGGTCCATCTTGAATTGGGTATGCTTGGTAAGCTTGGTCCGAAAGATTTGAAACGTGCAGCGACCGTGTGAATATTACAGTCCATGCGTGCTGAACTAATTAAACATCTGGTACGCACGAGTATAAGACTTACCATTATTGGATTGACAGAGTCACTGTGATTCATATCATCTCATATGCCTTGTCGGTCGGGGAGGTGGAGTGCTTGGGCATTTAACATTTTGGATGAATATATATGAGGCGTTGCGTTGGAGCCATTCCATTACGTTGTACGTACGGTAGTACTCCGGATATTATATTGAAGACAATAATAATGAATTTCACAAATTGAAGTGTATGTTTGATCTTGTTGTGAATGTAATTAGCCAGTGCGCGAGTTGAGGCATTAAAAATGGGACGGGCGCCGCAGGAGATGTTTCTGATATTCATATTATTGCTGTTGTTATCACCGGAGAGTGGAGCTGCTGCTGCTGGAGGTGGCCTTAATTACCGTGAAGCCCTCAACAAAGACATCATCTTCTTCGAGGGCCAAAGATCTGGGAACCTCCCCTCTTCAAACTGCATGACGTGGAGGAGGGATTTTGCGCTCTCCGACGGCTCCCTCCAACACGTGGACTTGGTGGGAGGGTACTATGATGCCGGAGACAACGTGAAGTTCAATTTCCCGATGTCGTACACCGCCACCATGCTGTCGTGGAGCGTGCTGGAGTACTGCTACAAAATGAAATCGCTTGCGTAGACTATTAACATGTGTTGTGTTTGTTAATAGTTTTGTGATGGTTTCCGTTTTGAACTCAAGGACAGATTGGTATAGTTCGGTCCATCTTGAATTGAGTATGCTTGGTAAGCTTGGTCTGAAATAGAACTTTGTGGTTCTCAACTATTACTTGTATTATTTGCATGATATACTTGTAATGGTTTGGCAATGATGAGTCTCCTCACAACCTTGTATTGCTACTCTACACCACCTAGGACCAATAAATTGGAGAATAATGGAGGTATTGGTCCTACCAAGACTTCTTTTCCACTTTATTTTTGGCTTGCAACCTATGTTTACTCTTACTTGTTATACTCCTATCATTTACCTTACCTCTCTCTTCTTGTACGCTGCATACTCTTGTTGACCTGTGTTGTTAGCCCTTTGTATTCAGACTTGTGATCGATCTGTCTAGAGCCACCCCTTGTTTGTCAAGGGAAATCCGTGAGCAATAATAGGAAGTCTGCCTATTATATCTCGGTGCTTCTCCTTCGTGAAATGGTAGCGTGTGTAAACCTTTTGAGCGGAGCTTCTCCTCCTTCTTCCTTTGTGCGAGAGGTCCTTAGTGGAGTGTGAGTGAGAGAGTAAACGTGAGAGATGGAGTGGCCTTCCCTAGGGTGGTGTGTGTGAGTCTAGCTAGATAGAGGTTGGAGACCTGAGTCGGAGACGAATCGATTCTCAACGTACACTTTTAGAATAGAAGGTAAACAATGAACAAGGTAAGTAGCTGTAAAAATTGCATCAACCCATCAATTAGCTGGCAGACTTGCCTCAATAAGCATAGTACACCCGTCGTCTATCCCCAAACGCGTAACTTAGTTGGTTAAGCGGTGAGAAAATTGGAGAAATGGCCAAGATTCGAAACTTGCAGTGATCGTGTGAAAGTTACAACTCATGGGCGTTGATTACTGTTGAACTGAACCTTTGATACACAAAGGTATAAGATTTGTCATTATTGGACTGACAGAGTTACCGTGACTTACATTCCCCCATATGCCTTGTCGGTCAGGACGTGGAGTACTCGAGGTTGGTGATTTAACTTTTTTGGAGGAATATATACGAGGCGTCACGTTGAAGCCATTTTATTACGTTGTACGTACGATAGTACTAATATTAAAGACAATTATCATGAATTTCACAAACTAAAGTGTACGTTGGATCTTATTGTGAATGCATTTAGCCAGCGCGCGAGGCATTAAAAATGGGAGAGGCGACGCAGGAGCTGTTTCCTATATTGATATTATTGATGTTGTTATCACCCAGAGAGCGGAGTTGCTGCTGCCGGAGGTGGCCTTAATTACCGTGAAGCCCTCCACAAAACCATCATCTTCTTCGAAGGCCAAAGATCTGGGAACCCCCCTTCTTCAAACCGCATGACATGGAGGAGGGATTCTGCGCTCTCCGACGGTTCCCTCCAACATGTGGACTTGGTGGGAGGGTACTATGATGCTGGAGACAATGTGAAGTTCAATTTCCCGATGGTGTACACCGCCACCATGCTGTCGTGGAGCGTGCTGGAGTACGGCCGGAAAATGAAATCGCTGTCGGAGTTGGAAAATGCTCGGGACGCCATCCGGTGGGCCACCGACTACCTCCTCAAGTGCGTCGTTCATCTCTCCGCCGGGAGGCTCTACGTGGGCGTCGGAGACCCCGGCCAAGACCACCTCTGCTGGGAACGCCCTGAGGACATGGACACCCCACGGACCCAGTACTGGGTATAACATCCCACACTCCCGGCTCCGAAGTCGCAACGGAAACCGCTGCCGCAATGGCCACCGCCTCCTTGGTCAAAATAGCACTCGGGTTGTCCAGACATTTCTATCTACTTTGGTTGACACTTTATTGGGATTTTATAATTATTACGATAACTCAACTAAATATTTGGTAGCTCATTCTCATTATTATGGACCCGATAAATAATTTAACTAATCTCGCATTAATTAAATATACCAATTCTGTTGCACGATTTTATTCGCTAGGAAATTCAAATACATATCGAATTTTAAATTCAAGTACATCCAGGTGCGATGTCACATGCATGGCTAGCCGATTGAGTGAGTTTGGAGATTAAGAGTGAGTGCCTTGGAGAATCGGATAAGCAGCACGGCAAAAGTGGAAGAGATGCATGACGTAGTCTGTAATATATATGAACTGCAATTGGAAGTTTTTGCGGTTGAGCAGCTGCACAGTGAGCATGGGCGGACCCAGGAAATTCATCTTGGGGGTTCAAAAATATTTTTTGGGGGAAGAAAATTATTTTTTGAGGGGGCGAAAAATATTTTTCGTACATATATACACTAAAAAAAATTGTTGGGAGGGCGGTAGCCCCTGGGTCTCTATTACGGTCCGCCCCTGACAGTGAGGGAATCAACACTCGAAAAATGTAAGGTTTTGCATCAACCATAGATGTGCATTGAGAATTAAATGGAAAGAGAAACCAAGCACTCCAGCCTAGCTGGTTGCGAGGTTACCGTGCCTAGTGGGAGGTCTCGAGTTCGAATCCCGCTAGGCACACACAAGAGTTTGAAACTCAATGGAGTGAGTTTCAGCCCTGATTACTCCAGGCTCCCTCCAGACCCCCTCCCGCAGACCCCCTGGAGTTTAAAAAAAATAGAAAAAGGACTATGTTAACGTTACATGTGTGTTATTACATAAGCAAAGAAATGATATAAAAATGTTCTTTGTTAAAATATAAAAATGTTCTTTGTTAAAATTTATAGGTTTGACAAATATATACTGGGTATGAATTCCCCAAATAGGAGTAAAAGATAGGCAAAATGCAAAAATAGGAGTATGCCCTATTTTTATAATAGGACAAGTATACCCCTTTCCAAGCCCCAACAACTTTCATTAATAATTAAAACATAAAAGAAATAAGATTAATTCATTATAATAAAATTGTAAAAAAAACAAACATATCAAATAAAATATATTCCGTATTAAATAAAATATAAATTATTAAAAGAAAAAAATAAAAAACTAAAAAAATTAAAATAAAAAACTAAAAAAAATTAAAATAAAAAAATAAAAAATAAAAAAAATATAAAACAAATATGTAGGCGCATGCCGCTGCCTCAACAACCACTCAACACCACCAGCTCCGACTACCGAAAAAAATGCCAACAGTTTCCCGAAATGCCATCATGATGGCATATTTTGAGAAAATTTGGCATTTTCAAAGAGTAAAACTGCCATCTTTATGGCATTTTCTAAGAAAAATGGAAGTTTTTACATAAAATGACATTTTTTCATTGACCGGATGTGACATTGATGGGTGATGACCGAAGCTGCGGGAAAGGCCTGCATAATTTTTTTATATTTTTTAATGCAGTTTATCTATTTTTTATTAATTTTTAAAAATTTTTATTTTTAAAAAAATATTTTTTTAATATTGTTGGGATGAACTTAGATTATTTTTTAAAGGGAAAACTGTCAAATAGGTCCTCGTACTTTTATGAAAAAGTCAATTGAGTCCTTCTACTATTTTTCGAATCAATTAAGTCCATCTAGTCCAAAAAATTAATCAAATTCGTCATTTGAGCGGTTAGCAGCCAGTAATCCCGGTAGTTTCTGATGTGGAGGCCCACGTTGCAATATTTTTAGTTTTATCATTTCTTTTCCTTTTTTGTTTTTTCTTTCTTTCTCTCTCAGACCACCTCTTCTTCTTCCCTAATCTTCTATGTGTTTTATCGTTCTTTCTTTTTTATTCCTTTCTTACTTGCTCTGTATTTTCTTTGTTCTATTACTTTCTTATCGCCACTGTGGACTGCTCGTCGGCCGTACTTCTCCAATCTGGATCTTCCATAGCCAAAGCTTGGCCAGCCGCCGCCAAGCGATGTCCGTTGTCTCCCACAATTCCCCAACCGCCGTCACCCGCAGCTCAAATTGTTCCCAACGGATGCCGCGTGCCACCATCTCCCATGTGTTCTTCAACCGCTGCCGGATGCCCACCTCCCGTCGGCCACAACTTCTCAACCGCCGACACCCATCCAAGAAAGAGAGTTGAAAGAATTGAAGAAAAGAAAGAAAAAGAAATTGGAAAATAAAGAAATTGGGGTGAGGGAGAAAACCATGAGGAGAAGGATAGTGAAGGGAAGAAGAAAGAAAGAAAACAAGAGGGGGGAGAAAGGTACTGGTACGACACTGGGAAGAAGAGGTCTGTAAGGAAGAAGATGGCTCACCGTTCAGCAGAGAAAGAAGCAAAGAAATAAAAAAACGGAATAGAGGTAATTGCCACGTGGGCCTCCAGATCATCATGTATATGGGCTACCGGTTGCTTACCGGTGAAATGGCGGATTTGGTTGATTTTTTGAACTTGGTGGACTTGATTGATTCGAAAAATAGTAGAAGGACTTAATTGACTTTTTCACGAAAGTACGAGGACCTATTTGACAGTTTTCCCTTTTTTAAATTAAAAGGCTGCATAAAGGTATCGTTTCCAGTAAATAAACTCAGATTTTTATTTTATTTTAATAGGATCAAATAAGTCATATTTTAGAATTAATTAGGTTAGGGATATTAAGGGTACAAAATTAATGTTTACTCCTATTGAAGAAAGTTTTAACTTTTACTCCTATTTGTGCAATTATGCTTATATTTTACTCCTATATCAGGCAATTTCTCTAATTGAGATAAAATTCATCATTGAAAAATGATAGATAAGTAATCGATGTATTGTTACTAATACTCCTATAATACCACCATTACTACGTACCCGTAGTAAAATACGGAGTGTGCTGGGTAACATACTAACATGCAAATCAACAATGGTGCTCTTAATGTTAAAATCAACATGTAAATCAACAATGGATTGAAGTTTGAAGTTTTCGATTCTTGGTGCATGTGATCTGACCTCCAGACTCATACATAACTCCTTCACAAGTCAATGAATATATGGAGAAGTAGCTAGCCAACCTAAAAGTACGGTAAAGGCGAATTGAAATAAAGAAAGAAGATTATGGTCTACGCCCCATTAGATACGCAATGTAGTAGCGAGCTAGTCTCCATCAAGACTTATCTATATATATATGTTTAGTTAGTTGACCACAATTAAAAGAGATATTTGTTCGTCAAAAAGGCCACCCCTAATTTGCGTGATTTGTGTTTGAATTTTCGTACACTTGTCTTCTATCCCCGCACGCAAAAATTAGTTGGTTCAGTGGTGAAAAAAATGGAGGAATAACCAAGATTTGAAACATGCAGCGACCGTGTGAAGGTTACGGTCCATGCGTGTTGCACTAATTAAACCTCTAGTACGCACGAGTATAAGACTTACCATTATTGGATTAACAAAGTCATTGTGATTTACATCATCTCATATGCCTTGTCGGTCGGGACGTGGAGTGCTTGGGCATTTAACATTTGGGAGGAATATATATGAGGCATTGCTTTGGAGCCATTCCATTACGTTGTACATACGATAGTACTAATTAATATTGAAGACAATTGTCATGAATTTCACAAATTGAAGTGTACGTTTGATCTTGTTGTGAATGTAATTGGCCAGCGTGCGAGGCATTAAAAATGGGACGGGCGCCGCAGGAGATGTTTCTGATATTCATATTATTGCTGTTGTTATCACTGCTGGAGAGCGGAGCTGCTGCTGGTGGAGGTGGCCTTAATTACCGTGAAGCCCTCAACAAAGCCATCATCTTCTTTGAGGGCCAAAGATCTGGGAACCTCCCTTCTTCAAACCGCATGACGTGGAGGAGGGATTCTGCTCTCTCCGACGGTTCCCTCCAACATGTGGACTTGGAGGGAGGGACTATGATGCCGGAGACAATATGAAGTTAAATTTCCCGATGGCGTACACCGCCACCATGCTTTCGTGGAGCGTGCTGGAGTACGGCCGGAAAATGAATTCGCTGTCGGAGTTGGAAAATGCTCGGGACGCCATCCGGTGGGCCACCGACTACCTCCTCAAGTGCGTCGTTCATCTCTCCGCCGGGAGGCTCTACATGGGCGTCGGAGACCCCGGCCAAGACCACCTCTGCTGGGAACGCCCTGAGGACATGGACACCCCACGGACCCAGTACTGGGTATAACATCCCACACTCCTGGCTCCGAAGTCACAGCGGAAACCGCTGCTGCAATGGCCGCCGCCTCCTTGGTCAAAATAGCACTCGGGTTGTCCAAACATTTCTATCAACTTTGGTTGACACTTTATTGGGCTTTTATAATTATTACGATAACTCGACTAAATATTTGGTAGCTCATTCTCATTATTATGGACCCGATAAATAATTTAATTAATCTTGCATTAATTAAATATACCAATTCTGTTACACGATTTTATTTGCTATGAAATTCAAATACATATCGAATTTCAAATTCAAGTACATCCGGGTGCGATGTCACATGCATGGCTAGCCGATTGAGTGAGTTTGGAGATTAAGAGTGAGTGCCTTGGAGAATCGGATGAGCAGCACGGCAAAAGTGGAAGAGATGCATGGCGTAGTCTGTAATATATGAACTGTAATTGGAAGTTTTTGCGGTTGAGCAACTGCACAACGAGCATGGGCGGACCCAGGAAATTCATCTTGGGGGATCAAAAATATTTTTTGGGGGGCGAAAATTATTTTTTGAGGGGGCGAAAAATATTTCTCGTACATATATACACTTAAAATAATTGTTGTGAGGGCGGTAGCCCCTGGGTCTCTACTACGGTCTACCCCTGACAGTGAGGGAATCAACACTCGAAAAATGTAAGGTTTTGCATAAACCATAGATGTGCATTGAGAATTAAATCGAAAATGGACTATATATGTTAACGTTACATGTGTGTTATTATATAAGCAAAGAAATGATATAAAAATGTTCTATGCTAAAATATAAAAATGTTCTTTGTTAAAATTTATAGGTTTGGCAAATATATACTGGGTATGAATTGCCCAAATAGGAGTAAAAGATAGGCAAAATGCAAAAATAGGAGTACCATGTTTTGAATAGGAGTAACTTTAGTGTTAGGACAAGTATACCCCTACCCAAGCCCCAACAACTTTCATTAATAATTAAAACATAAAAGAAATAAGATTAATTAATTATAATAAAATTGTAAAAAAACAAAAAAAAACATATAAAATAAAATATATTCCGTATTAAATAAAATATAAAATTATTAAAATAAAAAAATAAAAATAAAAAACTAAAAAAATAAAATAAAAAAAATAAAAAATGAAAAAACTATAAAACAAATATGTAGGCGCCTGCCGCTGCCTCAACAACCACCCAACACCACCAGCTTCGACTACCGAAAAAATGCCAACATTTTCCCGAAATGTCATCATGATGGCATATTTTGAGAAAATTTGGCATTTTCAAAGAGTAAAACAGCCATCTTTATGGCATTTTCAAAGAAAAATGGCAGTTTTTACATAAAAGGGCATTTTTCCATTGATCAGATGTGACATTGATGGGTGATGACTGAAGCTGCGGGAAAGGCCTGCATAATTTTTTTTATATTTTTAATGCAGTTTATCTATTTTTTATTTATTTATAACTTTTTAAAAAAAATAATTTTTTTAATATTGTTGGGATGAATTTAGATTATTTTTTAAATTAAAAGGCTGCATAAAGGTATTGTTTCCAGTAAATGAACTCAGATTTTTATTTTATTTTAATAGGATTAAATAAGCCATATTTTAGAATGAACTAGGTTAGGGATATTAAGGGTACAAAATTAATGTTTACTCCTATTGAAGAAAATTTTAAGTTTTACTTCTATTTGTGCAATTATGCTTATGAATACTCCTATATTAGGCAATTTCTCTAATTAAAATTCATCATTGAAAAATGATAGATAAGTAATCGATGTATTGTTACTAATACTCCGTATAATACTACCATTACTACGTACCCGTAGTAAAAATACGGAGTGTGCTGGGTAACATACTAACATGCAAATCAACAATGGTGTTGTTAATGTTAAAATCAACATGTAAATCAACAATGGATTGAAGTTTGAAGTTTTCGATTCTTGGTGCATGTGATCTGACCTCCAGACTCATACATAACTCCTTCACAAGTCAATGAATATATGGAGAAGTAGCTAGCCAGCCTAAAAGTACGGTAAAGCCGAATTGAAATAAAGAAAGAAGATTATGGTCTACGCCCCATTAGATACGCAGTGTAGTAGCCAGCTAGACTCCATCAAGACTTATCTATATATATATATATATATATATATACATATATATATATATATATATATTTAGTTAGTTGACCACAATTAAAAGAGAGATCCGTTCGTCAAAAAGGTCACCCCTAATTTGCGTGATTTGTGTTTGAATTTTCGTACACCTGTCTTCTATCCCCGCACACAAAACTTAGTTGGTTCAGTGGTGAAAACATTGGAGGAATAACCAAGATTTGAAACATGCAGCGATCGTGCGAAGGTTACGGTCCATGCGTGTTGAACTAATTAAACCTCTAGTGCGCACGAGTATAAGACTTATCATTATTGGATTAACAGAGTCACTGTTATTTACATCATCTCATATGCCTTGTCGGTCGGGACGTGGAGTGCTTGGGCATTTAACATTTGGGAGGAATATATATGAGGCGTTGCGTTGGAGCCATTCCATTACGTTGTACGTACGATAGTACTAATTAATATTGAAGACAATTATCATGAATTTCACAAATTGAAGTGTACGTTTGATCTTGTTGTGAATGTAATTAGCCAGCGCGCGAGGCATTAAAAATGGGGCGGGCGCCGCAGGAGATGTTTCCAATATTCATATTATTGTTGTTGTTATCACTGCTGGAGAGTGGAGCTGCTGCTGCCGGAGGTGGCCTTGATTACCGTGAAGCCCTCAACAAAGCCATCATCTTCTTCGAGGGCCAAAGATCCGGGAACCTCCCCTCTTCAAACCGCGTGACGTGGAGGAGGGATTCTGCACTCTCCGACGGTTCCTTCCAACATGTGGACTTGGTGGGAGGGTACTATGATGCCGGAGACAACGTGAAGTTCAATTTCCCGATGTCGTACACCGCCACCATGTTGTCGTGGAGCGTGCTGGAGTACGGCCGAAAAATGAAATCGCTGTCGGAGTTGGAAAATGCTCGGGACGCCATCCGGTGGGCCACCGACTACCTCCTCAAGTGCGCCGTTCATCTCTCCGCCGGGAGGCTCTACGTGGGCGTCGGAGACCCCGGCCAAGACCACCTCTGCTGGGAACGCCCCGAGGACATGGACACCCCACGGACCCCCTACTGGGTCACATCCCACACTCCCGGCTCCGAAGTCGCGGCGGAAACCGCTGCCGCAATGGCCGCCGCATCCTTGGTTTTCCGGCGATCCGATCCCGCGTATTCTTCAAGGCTCCTCAAAACTGCAAAGCAAGTGTTTCGTTTTGCAAATTCGTATCGGGGCTCCTACGGAGATTCACTCCAATCTGCTGTCTGCCCTTACTATTGCTCCTATTCCGGATATCAGGTCACCGCCCTATCCATCTGTTACTCCCCATTTATTTACTCACAAATCACAATATACGATAGTACTATCGTAGGTAATACTCCGTATCAATGATTCGGACACCTGCCCCCAAGACAATTCAATTCATTCATGCACCCGACTTATTATTTCATCATTTATTAAAATTTAAATTGTTTAAATGCAATACTCGTACAAAATGATCTCATATATTACTTCCGTCCCGAATTTATTTGCAAATTTGACTTTTCTTGTATTGGTCAAACAGTTTCATTTATTCTCTTAATTAGGATGCTAATTTTTAATTATATTTTAATTTGGAGTTTACAACTTTGAAGGGATTTTAATGTAGTTTCTGAATATATAAATTTTAATTATCAAGAATTGAATTTATTATTGATAGCGACCATTGACTTTTATTATTGGTTAACCAAAAATGTTAACTCTGCAAAACAATTTGGCACGCAGGGAGTATCTACCAAAAATTTATTTCTTTTAATTCCCTTTGTCTTTCTTCGGGAACAAAATTAAAGACTCTTATTTTAGGATAATAATTTTAGGATACTTTCACTCTCTTTTAATCTTCTTCGCTTTTATTATTGGGCTCATTTATTTCTGCATATATATTGGTCACTTTGATTTCTACATATATTTCTGCACAGTGATGAATGACAATGTACGAAGTATATAATTCTTAAATAAATGTGTACTTACACTTTAATATTAATGTGTTAATAAATTATTTTTATAAATTAAACTGTATGTGCTTCTTTGTAATGAAGCAGCAATCAGTCCATGCAATTTTGGACGCGATTTTCACTATGGATCATCCGGAAACAGTCTCTCTACGCTTTAGTACAGGGGTAAGACTGCGTACATCCGACTCCCCCTTACCCCACCGTAGGTGGGAGCCTTTGCAGCACTGGGGTAAATGAAAAAAAAAATTGTTAAATTTTGTCATCGTAAATTTTCAAAAACTGATTATTTTTTATTTTTTTACTCATGTAGAATAATACTATGTATATATTAATGGTCAAAGTTGTGAATTGACAAACGTAAAATTTGAATGTTGCACATATTTAAGAACAAAAGATATATATAGCTACCGGGCAATATGTATATAAAATTTGTACTTCAATTCGATCTGTGTCACCATGCATTTTACTACGACTATTACATTACCGTAGAATTACTTGAATGTATTAGGATGTTTTCTTTTGGACTGAAATTTTCCGGTCTGGTCTGAATTGGTCTGGTCTGGTCTTATAAACGTCTAGTCTTTGTGTATTTTATAATTATGGAAGTCTGGTTTGATCTGGTCTGGGACTGAAAACAGTCCAAAAGAAAACATCCTTAAGTAAGTTGTTTCATACTTAACAAGTTAAATGTTAAAGTATTGTAGAATTTGTCATTTAACAAAGAGTAACTTAATTGATGACTTTTGTTATAAAAAAAAAACTTAATTGATGACTGAACAAATTGACATACATAGAGAAAAATAGTTCAAAAGGAACATGGGAATAATGATGAATTAGTTGAATCACACAAGAGAGGGTGAATTGTGTGTATTTCTCACAAATTGACAACTATGACACTTTTTCGCCAAGTTCTAGTGTGGGACAAGGGAAAACACAAATTAAAGGGCACTAGAATTTAACGAGAAATAATTCTTTCGCTCGACATGGATTAAAAACCCTTGACCCCTCAGGGGAATACTCTTCACTAAAAGCTTTTAAAGAAGTTACAAGATAAACAATCTTAGTTTACCCTTGAGCCACCCCAACGCAAACCTCTCTAGGTTGAGTTCTCACTCTCTTACCTTGTGGGTAAGGAGTCTCTCAGCTTTACAACAAAGCTCTTACTTCACACCCCAACCCTCGGAGGAAAGGATTCTCAAATGTTCTTCTTCTAACAACATTATAATTGTGAATGAGGGTTGGTAGCCTTGATTTATGTCAATACATTATGTGCATGACATGTTGTACATTGTGTTTAGAAAATGGAACCTCACTATTTAATAGGACTTCTTTACCCTTACGGCCTTACCTCTCCTAATTTATTCCGTTAATCAGCTTTCCAAAACTTTTAACCGTAATGCCTCTTGCCCTCTTAAATCCTAGCACTTAAAAGAGTATATTTTACGTAGTACAAAACAACCTATTTGAAGAAGAAAAAAAAACTTCAATCATGATGTATGAGACATCCTCCTGAACCCCCTCATTTTGGGTTTGATACTTGAAGAAAAATATTGGGAAGAGGAAGATCACCTAGGTCAATTTTGATGACAATTTACTTAATTAAATATTTTATATTTTAGAGTTATATATATATATATATATATATATATATATATATATATATATATATATATATATATATATATATATGGTGCAATTCCAATGAGAAAAATGTTTTTTAACGTGCACATGATTTAACCTAATGTGATACAGAATAGAGGTCATCAGATGCACATTTTGACTTTGCTCAAACCAAGCTAATATAAATAATTGCAGTGACATTTTGGTAAATATTAATTATACGATAGTACTTAACACGAAAAAGTGCATTGGGCGAGCCTCATTGTGCATCTCAGGTTAAGCATTGTTCTTATTTGATCATATATATATATATATACATACATATGTATATATATATATACATACATACATACATATATATATATATTGGGTAAGTTCTAATACAAAGAGATCTTCCCATGAAAAGTGAGAAGTGATCTAAACTCTTGATCACTTAAAATGAACACAATAGATCAAAACTCGTGTGAAAGATGCTAAACCTAAATGTGCAATACACAATAGTAAAAGTGCATATGCGATATGTATAAGTGTACATTAGTCCTGTTAAAAAATATCACAAAATGATTTCTATACGTGTTGAATTATTTTGAAAAGTGATGCACTTGTGTGTTAGTCAAATAGTACACTTTATTTTTTGAAAAAAATCATTGGATTTACACATTTGCCACCGCGTTTTGCACTTAAAAGTTGATCTGATCCACCTATTTCTCATTCTAATGGCCAAGCTAAGAGGACTGATCGTATCAGGCTTGCCTGACGGCGGTAAAAAAAAAAAAGAATCTCTTAGCTTGTAGAATATTGGTAGTTGAAAAAGTTTTTCTAAACTTCAAAATTCATAACACCTACACATCAACCAGCTCAATCTGTACATAATTAAAGATGTTTGATAAAGCTATTGTCACAATTTATAATAAAAATCTATTGTCACTACAACTATCAGAAAAATATAATCAACTAATAGGATTAGACAGTTTTAGAAATATGGGCACATGCATCGTCCATACAATAGCTGGTGGACTAAAAATATAATTGATTCAATTATTTACAAAAAAAAGTAGGACAATTTCGTAAACTATTTAAAAAAATCTTGTAACAGTCTCACATGTATATAATAGATTAATAGTTGTTTAAAAAAACTATTTTGACATTAGGCAAAAGCTCTCGCGCCTTGCGCGATCATACGCTAGTAACCTCAATACAATTGAATTACAAGGGATAAAACTGTCGGCAGTACTCAATCTTCTATGGCATCCTTGTATATGACTTTCCTTCTATGAGTATTTTCTTCTCGATTCAAGCACACATATCTTCATGCACGAGCTTGGTCATTTATATGGATGTCTAGGAGCTGTCAAGGCTTTATGACATTTAAAAGCTTTCCTTTGAAGATGTATTCTTTTCTTTGAGCTCGATTCTCATAAATGTGCTAGATCATGACTTGATGTGCTCTCCTTAATGTGCTCGGATCTCCTTATATATTTTTTAGAGAAAAGGTGCAAATAAGGCCACGTACTAACCAAAAAAGGTCAAATAAGGCCTTATTTAAGAGGTTATGTCCGGTCGTCGCCATTTGGGGTAGTTCCCGGTGGAATTTTTTGATGAAATTTTTTTAGCATCTTATTCAGTAAGTCTAGTTTACGTATACCAAATTTCAGCTAAAACTTCAATCGGGAAGGCATTCAAATGAATTCTTGAAGATAACTGAGCTTTTAACTGCGCAGTTATCTTCAAGAATACATTTGAATGCCTTCCCGATTGAAGTTTTAGCTGAAATTTGGTATGAGTAAACTAGACTTACTGAATAAGATGCTAAAAAATATTCATCAAAAAATTCTACCGGGAACCACCCCAAATGGCGACGACCGTACAGAGCCTCTTAAATAAGGCCTTATTTGATCTTTTTTGGTTAGTACATGGCCTTATTTGCCCCTTTTCCCTATTTTTTATCCTCTTTGTATAAAAATGATTTGAAAAATATTTCCTTATAGTATTAAAAAATATATTATTTTTGTTTGTTTGAAGGAAATCGTTTTTCTTAAGAAAACATTCCGTGTGAGAGGAGATGAATGAGAATCTAATTTGAATTTTGAATAACTCCTTTTATTTTGGAAACTTGCTTAGTGGAAAGATCTCTTATTTAATGTCTTTAATTAAATAGATTTCCTTTATAGAAAAGTAAGTCAAATTAATCAATCTTGGATTCACACGACTTAGATCTTTTCTAGGACCAGTTTTGCAGCTTGTTCGAGAGCACGGCTTAAATCTTTTCTTGCAATTACTTATAAACCAAAAATAACACTAGTTGTTTGTCATCAACAAAACAATACATTCCAACAAATAATACTCCGTATATAACTTACTCAAATAGGACAAGAGATTATGAGACAAAAATTTTGGTGGACCCCATCTACGTGAATGATATGGGTAGGGATGTCAAAAAAAAACCGACCCGCAATGACCCGCCTTGGCCCGAGACATTTGGGGCGGGTCCGCCCCGCCCCGTCTTGCAAATGGGGCGGGTCCGCCCCACCTATACAATGGGGCGGGTCCGAGTATTAGAATTGACCCGTTCCGCCCCGACCCGACCCGCTCAATATATAAATATACATACTTTTTCTTAACTTATACTACAAATATACTTAAACATACATATGTGTGTATACAATAAATCATAAATTCTTTGATCTTATAGTATATGAATATATATTAGAATGAGATGCACGACGGATTATCAATGTCTTCTTTATATATATAGAATTTTAATACATTTATTCAATTATTAATATAACTAATTAGATTAACTATTCAAGTTTGAGTAATTTTTTCTTAATTTTTGAAATTTTTAGCGTATCATGAAGTTGATTTAATATGTTGAGTTTTAATTATCATTTAGAGATAAACATTATGTAGATTCAATTGGTAACAACTTCCTACAAATAAAAATAAAAACTAGCTAATTAGGTAGCGGCGGGCCAGACCCGCCCCGCATGGGGCGGGTCATGGGTCAACAAGTTTGGACCCGTGCAGGTCACGGGGCGGGGCGGACCCGCCCCGCCAAGTCACGGGGCGGGTCCGGGTCTTGCAATACCCGCCCCGCCCCGACCCGACCCATTGTCATGCCTAGATACGGGACTGAAATGCATGGGAATAATATAAGAAGTACGTAGTAATTAATTGAGTCCGTACTTTATTTTTTATAGAGAAAACATAGTTTGTTTATTTATTTTTCAACTATTTCGCAACAAGCTCAACCATTTAGCAAGCAAACCATATACGTAGTATATTGATTTATTTTTAATATAAAGGATCGGCTTTTATATTAAAATCGAGAAAGATACAAGATAATATCCAGACAGTGATGACAGATCCGATTGTGAGCCCTGTGAATAGACTTAGAATCAGTCACCTCATACAAAGCAACCTGATTCGCTAGACACAAAACGGGCAATTTAAAGTCTAAAACAATCGGAATTGAAATACTATCTATCAAACGTACACTAGAAGTCCAAATTTCTGAATCAAAACCAACTAAATCTAAAATAAAACAAGTACTACAAATGGAAAAATGGAATTGAAATAAGGTCTTTCCACAAAACTCTTCATGCCATGGTGGTGGTTGTAGAGGAGGACGAACTCTACCAATGTCAACACACTCTAAAAGAAAGCAGACAGAAGCTCCTGACCAGATGAAGCTAGCCGAGACACCAACAAAACTCTATTCTTAAAGATTCCCACTTTCATCTTACTTTTCAATATAATCTTTAATGGCTCAAATAAAAAATTAAAAAAGTGGAATAAACTCAGTCTTTTTTTAGGAGAAAACTCCCCATATTGAGAGAGACAAACCACCCCGGAGCACCAATGTCCGGAAAAGGACCGCCATAGAACAAAATCAACACTACCATAAAAGAAGAATAATCCAATTGGATCATACCTCTACCAAGAATTTGTAAGCCGGAATCCTACGCGCATAGCCCAGAACATGTCTGATCCTCTTCATCCTTCATAGTTGAATTCAGAAGAAAGAAAGGTTGGTCCGCCGCATGCCATTGACCACCGTATAGTCCACGTCTTTTGTTTATAAAAACGCAAGACATTACATTAATCTATCATTCTCACTTTGTTCCCATATATATTGATTCTAAAGTGAAATCCCTATATATCAAAGAAGACGTGAAAATAATACAATTACTATACATTTGTTACCATTCACAATTGCTATATATTGTATGTAGTAACATATTCGTTGGTGCTTAATTAATTTGCAGGACGAATTATTATGGGGAGCAGCATGGCTGCTCAGAGCAACAAATGATCTCAGATATCTCAAATTCATAAAGAAAATTAAAGTCAATGGATTGCCAGACCTATTTAGCTGGGACAATAAGTATGCAGGGGCGTATGTTCTTCTCTCAAAGGTGAGTAAGATTGAAGAAAGGTGACAACTCCGGTACCTTTTCAAAAAATGGGGTACCATACCTACCATTCATTTGATTGGACCACATCACTTTATCATTTTTAATTTAGATTTAAATAATTCAACTGCAACATTCTCATTGGTTCATGTGGACAAAGGTATGGTACCTTATGAGTATCATAGAATCTACCTTGAAGAAAATAACATGTAAATGTACGTATGCAAATGAGATAGATGAACCTATATTTTTTACTCTTTCCATTTCAAAATGTTTTCTTCGTGTTTCTTGTTTTATAAGGCCAAAACATTTTTCATTTCATACACCCAAAATGTGTGGAATCGCTCACCTCAGGCGCCCCACACCTTCTTCCGACAGAATGATGGAGGGATAAATTCTGGTACGATATCAAATAGTTTCTGAGTGAGGTGATTCAGGGTTTAGTGCACACTGTTAGGAATTTAACTCACAAACACGAAGAATAATTAAAGAACACACGAAATTTGGTAACCCAGTTCGCCACAGAGGACTACGTCTGGGGGCGCTACCAAGCCAGGAATGTTATTAATATTTTCTGGATGCAGATTACAAGAGAGGAGAGTGCTATTTATAGAAATGCAGTGTCTTGTTCCCAAAGCAACATAACCCCTAATTAAATTAGGAGGTGTTTCTAAAAATAAATTAAGAAACGTGTTTCCAAGAATAAATTAAAAAACTGTCTCTGACACCTTACAATCTCCCAAGGAGCCACCACATTAGATGGAACTCCCATGCTACTACGGTTTGGGATTGAAAATGATCGAGTCCTTAACCCAATTGTCTCACTCAGCAACTATTGAGCTAAATGTGCGGGTACATTTTTCATTTCATCTTAACACAAAGGTTATTAGTTGTATGATTCATGTTAATTCTTCGATTTTGAAACCAACATCAACCACACACTAATTCTTCATAAAAAGCAATGCAAAAGACAAACATAAAGAGCGAATCTTTGACAAAGAGAGAGTACTTATGTTTTTCATTTTAATACATGCTTTTAGTTTTTCAACAAAATTAGCTAAAATTCAATAATATATATATATATATATATATGAAAATGTTTCTTTAATTAAGCACATATATAATTGGTACAAACGAGTACGTAACTTAGTTAGTATTATATGATTTTAGAATAATGCGGTATGTATGTACAATATGCTCTGATTTGAAAAAATAGAACTGCATCTTCAGAATATAATATGAATATGGGTAGGTGCACTTTTTAAACATCTTGAACTAAGCATTGAATATGTATGCATATATAGGTCTACAAATGAATCCAAAATTAGGACTTTCATTAATGAAAATGTGTGGTAAAACTGTAAATATTTTAAAACTTTAAAACTGTAAATACTTTAAAACTTTTAAACATCTTGAACTAAGCATTGAATATGTATGCATATATAGGTCTACAAATGAATCCAAAATTAGGACTTTCATCTAGTTTGCATAAAAGTTTGGTGATGAGTGTATAAGTTCTATAATTAATCAAGTTTCTATGTTACGGACTTTTTATATTGTATTGATTGCTATAGTACCCATAAATAACGAAGGTACAATATCTATATATCATGTGTTTCATTGATCCACATCAGTGTTTCATCATTTATTTATATTTAAATTATTCAATTGCAAAATTTTAATTAATTCAGGTGTACACGATATGAGATTTTGAAGTATCATATAATTTGTTGTTTTATTTTGGAACCTAGCATGCACTCTTGTAATGAACTACTCCGTAATATACTTTTTGTATATACTAATTCACCCTTATCCACGCATATTTTACAGAAAAAAATGTAATGGCAAAAATGACACCCTGTTTCGTACTTCAAAGATGATCTCATCCATATGTTTTACAACAATAATCATATTGTGTACTATGGTGTAAGAAAACATCTCTCTGCGAGATGAATATACAAACAAATGTTTAATTTGATGGTCACATAGGTTTTCTGTAGTATATTTTACTTGTATTTGTCTTCTTTAAATTTTACCATATATGTGTATTATGTTACCTTTTGACTTTAGTCACCTGGGGCATATTGACATAACGTTCTTTCATCTTTATCCTTGTATTTTTTTCCATCTACCAGTGGGCTGTGGTGAAAAAAGATGGAAGGTTTAATGCATACAAAGAGGGAGCAGAGCATTTCATGTGCGCCGTTCTCCCCAAACACCTTTCCCCTGCCTCTACAACCACATACACACCAGGTAAGTCAATTGCACATTTGTACCTTTACCTTTAAAAAAACATTAATTAGAACGGCTGGTGAGTTTGGATGAATTTAGATTTAGTGGAATTGTAAAAATTAAATCAACGTGGGGTGAACATTTGTGCAAATACTACGTATAAAATGATGTTAATCAACTCTTTAGATCTTCTTGTGCAACCTAATCTAACTCAAATTCCTAAATCCGCCCTTCTCGGTGATGTTATGAGTGAATCGAGATTTCTCAAAGAGTTTAGTTATTGTCTTCAAAACACTTTTTAAATGAGACGAATAATATCGATTGAAAAATGGCAAAATCTAGATCACCCTAATTACAACAATAAATTATCAATGATCCCGGTAACTACTTTACTTCTAGCGAAACCGTTACAGATTATTAATTTTTTTATGAAGACAAACAATAATACTTCACCCATAATATAATAGAGATTATTAATTACAACTTCGTGATAATGATATACAATGCAGGTGGTCTTATGTACAAGTTGCCTGAATACAATATGCAATATGTGACATCCATCACATTCTTGATGACCACCTATGCCAAGTACATTGCATCAACAAAGACGCTATTTTATTGTGGAGACAACTCTATTACTCGTCATACTCTACGCAGCCAAGCAAAAACACAGGTTTTTGTTTAACTACCCAACTTTTTAACGTTGTTAATCTTATTTATCTTTCGCACAAATGAACTCGTCGAATCAAACCAGAGAGAGTTAATTGTGTGTAAAAATAGTGACAGTTTTCATACAATTTTAGTGTTGGGTATAGGTCTTGTTTGACAGTTGATTGATAATAGCTGATTGTGTCAGCTGTTTTAATTTAGTTGACTGACTATGTTAGCTTGTTGTCAGTAATGCTTGGTAAATTAGTTGTTCAAAAATACTGTATGAGGGTAAAAAAACATATAAGGACATTAGTATATTTTAGCTATTATTTATAAAAAACAATATTTCCTATACTTACAAAGTATAAATCATTCATTTTTTATGAATTTTCAAAATGGATAAATAAAACTACATGCAAAATAAAAAGATAAAAGAAATATTTTAATTTAATTTGAATAACATGAATTCGCAATGAAAAAAGTGACTTTTTCTTTTCCTTTTCCCCAATTGTAGCAGCAATGAAGTCGAATATAATATAAGAACTAGGTGATATATATTATGCAGTTAAAAATAGATTACATTTAGATGAATTAATTCCAAATAGAAAAATAATAGGAAAAGATATACTACCAAATGCCTTCGTTTGTACTTTTTGAAGAAGAATTGTCAGAGTATGAGGCTGGATGTGTTATGTATAGTTTTTTAAGCACAGAGAGAAGAGAAGATGAGTTGTGTATAGCATTGTTTCATTCGTTCTTTTAGGAAGAAAGTAGGCATGAGACGATGTCATAAGAAATTCTAACCGCCAAAACCAATGTTCTAAAAGGCACTAGCGTTAGTCGGGCGGGCGCCAGTCCAGCGCCTAGACGGCTAGGCGGGCACCTAGGCGGTGACTAATCAGAGACATAGAAATTATAGTTTATTGATATTTTTGCATAAACATGATTAGTAATGTTGTGTTGGTGTGTATATAAAAAATTTACACACACATACACATTAGCATGCATGAATAGTAGAGTTGTCACATTAAATAATATATTATACCTACTCACTTAACTTCATTATGTAATAAATATTATTAAATAATAATAATAATAACACTTAAGATTATATAATACCTACCCACACTTATAGTTTTTATCTTAGTTTTCTTCATATGTATTGTTAAAGTTAAAAGTGCATATATCTCGTAGAATACTAAAATAAAAAAGTAAAATAAAATGTTCGACTAATCTAGATGTCTAGGCGGCAGATTAAGTGCTATAAGCGGGCAACTAGGCGCTCGACTAATTCACCTAGACACCAAATCAATTAGTCGGAGTGCCTATACCAAAATTGCGGCGCGCGACCACCGCCTAGCGCCTAGGCGGGGACTAGTCGGGCGCCTAGAGTGATTTTTAGAACAATGGACGAAACCAAATGCTGCTCCCCTCGGCGTTTCGTATTTTGGCTTCTTCGGACCAATCACGCTACCAGAAAAGTGCGAAATTGGCACGACAGCTTTCAGATTTTTGCCCTGCCTGTGGGTTTTGGCACGGCATTGGCACAAACACCCAAGCCATGCATGCCACCTGGGGCCTTCCAAATCAAATGGCACGCGGTCTATATGTCGTGCCAAATTTAGGCACGACATGTGGCACAAAACCATATCTACAATCCAATTATCAAACATTAGATTTAACGTTTTGATCGATTGAACTAGTTATTTTTAGTCAAAGAAGTTAAATTTTGGTCGATCAGCCATTTTCCAAACAGCCCCGTAGATAGCAAGAAAAAAGTAAACACACAAAAATTTAACAAGCAAAAATCCATTGGCTTCGACGTACCTTAGAGGAATTTAAAACTTTTCACTAAAAACTAAGTCCTTTTACAAAGTTACCACATAAACTACCTAGTCTACACTTAGCCTCCCCAACTCTAATATCTTAGGTTGAGTTACACTACCTTATCTTGTTGATAAAGAGCCCCACAACTTTATCACTTTATCATAATATGGCTTTGAGTGGAAAATGAAAAATAAACACTTGTATACATAAATACACATTCATCCATAAACACGTGTGATGGCATTCAATTATTTTCAAAAAGAAAATTGAATCAAGTAATTATTAAGCTTCCAAAAGGTTTTAGCATTAACACAAATAACATATACACATATTGACTTATTACATAAACTAGCAATATTTGTATAAATACAACTTCATATTACTTTCAAATCGAATAACCTCATATGTACATCATTAAAGAGAGCTTATGAATTTATTTTTTTCATCCGTACAAGATTTATTTTAATTAAATTATTGATGAAAAAGTTAAATAGTGTATGGTGATGTCCATCGATTAAACATTTTATTGTGAAAATGAATTACTAATCATTAAAGTTGCAAATAATGTAATCCTAATATATATGGAGAATAGTTCATAATCTTATTTGTTGATTTTTTTTACTCCAAGAGGGGTCTGGGGGAGGGGGCTGGGGGAAGTCTGGAGTAATATGAAAATCACTCCATTGAGTTTTAAATCCTTATTGCCTAGCGGTTTTCGAACTCGAGACCTCCCATTAGGCATGGTAACCTCACAACCAGCTGAGCTGGTTTGCTTGGTGAATCTTATTTGTTGATTTGATGACAATTCAATCAAATAATTATTTGAATTTATGTGCACGTTAATATGTCTTAGTAGTATCTATCACTTTTTAAAGCTCTTTTCTTATAAAAATTAACACATTTTTTGCTAAGTAATACTACGTGCTTAATAGTGGCACTTTTAATTAATCCATTATGCTACTTAAAAAATCATCTAGGGGATTGTAGAGTAATGTTTTAGTGTGAACCTCCTTATCACAAATTGTCTTTTAAGAAAAGATATGGTATCCATTTAACTATAGAGCTGTGTAGAAGTGAATTGACACGAAAGGATTAAGGGTGATCTAGGAAGTTTGTGAAAAGGGTGAATCTATACAATTAATGTTATTTCTAACCCAACTGGTCAAGTAACTCATACGACAAAAGGCAAGAGTAGCAGCGTTACTCTTCCTCGAATCTCCTCCACGGTCCTTGATCCATTCATTCGTCTAGCTTAAAGTCTAATGTGGCATGGCTCTGGATTAATTTGAATAGTCTTGGTTTAAAAATTCTGGTTTGGTATAATTGCATGTAATGAAAATAATACTAGCTAGTAGTAGTAGTAAATGTAGGAATGAAGAAAAATAAAAACACTCATTTATTTCAATGAACTACTGTAAAGCCAGTGTTTTTTCTCTATAATGATTAACTTTTGGGGAAATTGATAGGTGGACTACATTTTGGGCAAAAATCCAAAGCGGATGTCATACATGGTCGGATTTGGGGAATATTTTCCGAGAAGGATCCACCACAGGGGGTCATCATTGCCTTCTACGGCGGCAAATCCAAGTCATTTGAGCTGTAACTATGGCTTTGAGTATTTTTACCATACTTCCAAGTCCAATCCCAATATCTTAACTGGAGCCATAGTCGGGGGTCCAACAATAAGAGATGAATTCATAGATGATCGTATGAATTATAATCAGTTAGAACCTACAACATACATTAATGCCGCTGCTATTGGACCTCTAACTTACTTTGCTGCTAGATACCAGAGCTAGAAGTGAACTATATATGTTGGTTTTATTTACCTAGTATATGCCAACAATCTTTTGTAAGGTGTTTGTGACTCTCATTCACTTCAAACCTCATTAGTATTTCCACTACTACATTTCATAAATCTCACATACTCAAAGAGACAGACTTAAAAAGTGAAAACTGGTATCATTGACCCATTGGTCTCTAACCAAGGGAAGCGTATATGGTACCACAGGTTGTACGGTGCTCACCGTACAGTCAGTGGCATTTTTGTAATTTATTTGAAATTCGTGTCTCGTATTAAATGAGTATTAAACCACACATAGTGAGCAAGTGACATATTTTGTTGAGCATTAGAAGCATAACATTGAGCATCATGATCTCTGCTTCATCTCTTCGAATTTACTTTCTTTTCCTTATTTTTTTTCTTTATAAAAACTTATTAAATTATATCTATAATCAACTCTTATGAACTCCAGTATGTGAATTTAATGCAATATGATACTTTGGAAATATACATTGGTATGTCATATTACAAATGATCATAACATGAATACCCGTTGAGCATACATAACTTATAAAATGAGAATTGATATGAAAATCATAAGTACTTTTAATTGAACATCAAGACATTTTTATTGAGCATCAACTTGAAAAGTATGACCAATGATTTTCATTATGCGATTGTGATGAGCATCGAGTCTGTTCTTTTTAAATGAGCATAAAGTAACACCAAATGAGCATATGTAACTTACAAGATGAGTATCAAAAAATTTAAAAGTCCATTTGTGTATGCTCATGTGTTAAAAAAAATATGTTCTCATTAATATATATGAAGTATGGTTGTTTTCATAAATATGAAGTATTTAATATATATGTTTTAATATATATGTTAAAACATATTAAAACATGTTTTAATATATGGTTGTTCTCATAAATATGTTTTAAATATATATATGTTTTAAAAAATATATATTAATAACAACCATATTAAATACTTCTCATTAATATATATTAAAACATATATATTAAAAAAAATATGTTTTAAAAAATATATATATTAAATATGTATACTCAAAAAATACTTTATATTTAACACGTATGGTTGTTTTAATTTGCTAAATGTGCTTCTATGTTACGCAACGTACGAACTAATTGTACACCTACTCATTAATCAACCGTTCGATTCTCTTAATTAAAGGCTAGGATTTGTTCTCACTTCTTACAATAAGGAATGTTCTCATTGGAACCACTCCATATATATATATATATATATATATATATATATATATATATATATATATATCCCTATATATATATATATATAAGATCAAATTAAGCGTTATGTGTTGATAACACCAATGATCACTATCATCTAATCATCTATTTATATATTATTATATATAAGAAAAGAATAGGATCATAGAAATACATTTTTGGCCCTATTTAATCCTACGTGTGTGCCTCTTATTAATCCCTACATTTTCTCCTCTTAAGCCACATGTCTTTCTCTCCTAATGAAGTTACCCCGTTGCTACTAATAATAACTAATAACAACAAAAACGTATGCCTCATTACCGTACTTCACTCCACTCATTTCTCTCTTTCTAATCTCATCTGAACTCTTTTGATCTGATATGAATCTTTCTAATCTGATCTGATTTTAATATTTCTATAATTATAATTATAATAAGTATATTTATAATTGTAATTATAAATATAATTTAAATATAATTATAATTGTATTCGTAATTATAAAAGTATAATTATAAATATAATTAAAAGTAAATTATAATAATACCTATTACACTAATTATAATTATAGCTATAATTATAATTGTAATTATAATTGTAATTATATTTATTATCTGATCAAATTATAAATCATGTTTGAACTTTTCTGATCTGAACGTTTTTTATGAGACCTGAATGTTTCTAATCTAATCTAATATGAATCTTTCTGATTGATCTGAATTCTTCTTATCTGATCTGATCTGAATTTTTCTGATCGGATCTGATCTGAATTGTTATGATCGGATCTGATCTAAATTGTTATGATCGGATCTGATCTGATCTCAATACAATCTCAATAATGTTAAAAATGTCATATATTAGTAAAAATGAGCAAATTTGCATATGAATGTGAGTATTATCGGTGAATCACATCATCACTATTGGAAATAATAAAAAATAGTATAGGATGTTAGATAAAATGAAACATATTATAAAAGAAATGTCACCATGAAAAACTAATACCATAATGGTAAAAGAAATGAATTAATGTAAAAAAATGTCAATATATTTGCAATACTAAAATAATCTCAGAGTTGCTAAAGAAATAACAAATTTGCAATATTACATGCATTGTAAACCCGAAAAATAATATCGTTAGTGGTGAGCTCTTTCATTGTTATCATTATATTGAAAATAAGCTTGCTAACTATTGAAAGGAAAAAAAAATCTCTCTTTAATATATAGTTCTTTTAAATATATGATAATCGGCTAAAAATCGAGTAGAAGATTTTTATCTCTCATATGTAGTGCTTTTAGGTATAAGGTAAACTGACTGACAAATGAACGGGAGAACTTTCTCTTTCATATGTAAGGGTTTTAGGTATAAGAATGTAAGCTTGCTAATAATTGAGCGAAAGAGTTTTCTCTCTCAAATTTGGTGTTTTTAGAAATTACAAGATAAGTCTGCTAACAATTCAGCGAGGAATTGACCGAGGGGATAATTTTCCCTCTCATATGTAGTGCTTTTAGGTATCAGAAGATAAACTTGCTAACAATAGAACGAGATAACTTTCTCTCTCACATGTAGTGTTTTTAGCTATAAGGTAAGATGGTAACTATTGCGCGGGAGAACTTTCTTTCTCACATGTAAGAGTTTATGTATATATATGAAGATAATATTGCTAATAATTGAGCGGGTAAATTTTCTCTGTCATATGTGGTGGTTTAAGACTTGCTAACAATTGAGTGGGGGAGTTGAGGGAAATAATGTTCTCTCTCATATATATGTGGTGATTTTAGGTATTAGAATACAAGTTTCCTAACAATTGAGCGGGATAACTTTTTATTTCATGTGTAGGTTTGTTGAATATAAGGTAAGCCGACTGACAATTGAGCAGAATAATTTTTTTCTTATTTGTATTGCTTTTAGATATAAGAAGCTAAGAAGATAAGCTTGCTAACAATCGAGCGAGAAAATTTTCTCTCTCACATGTTGTGCTTTTTTATGTAAGTTAAGATAAGTCAGCTAACAATTGCACGGAAGAACTCTCTCTCATATATAGTTCTTTTAAGTATAAGATAAGCCGCTAACAATTGAGCATATGATTTCTCTCTCCCATATAGAGAGTGCTTTTAGGTATAAGGTAAGCCGGCTAACAAATGAACGGAAGAACTTTTTCTTTCATATGCAAGGGTTTTAGGTATAAGAAGATAAGATTGCTAACAATTTAGTGAAAGAATTGAGTGTGAGAATTTTCTCTCTCATATGTAGTGATTTTAGGTATTATTATTAAGAAGAAGATAAATAAATATCTTACAATTGAGCGGAAGAACTTTATCTCTCACATATAGTACGCTCTTTTAAGTACTCCCTCCGTCCCCTAAAACTTTGTCATTTTTCCTCTTTGGGGCGTTCCATAAAATTTGTCACTTTCCCTTTTAATCAATTATTCTGTGGTTCCTGTTATTTCTTTCTCCTCTAAACAAAACTTAACCACATAGTTTTTACTTTATTATTCTTTGTGCCGATCAAACTTGGCAAAATTTTAAGGGACGGAGGTAGTATAAGATAAGCCGGCTAACAATTGAGCCGAAGAATTTTTCTCTTCCTTATGTAGTGCTTTTAGGTATAAGGTAAGCCGACTAACAATTGAACGGAAAAACTTTATTTCTCATATGTGTCAGTTTAGGTATAAGAACATAAGATTGCTAATAATTGATCTAATGAATTTTATCACTCATATGTATTGTTTTTAGGAATCAGAAAATAAACTTGCTATCAATTGAACGTGGGAATTGAGAGGGATAATTTTCTCTCTCATATGTAGTGCTTTTAGTTATTCTATATAAAAGATAACTTTGCTAACAACTGAGCGGTATAACTTTCTTTATCATATGTAGGTCTTTTAAGTATAAGATACGTTGACTTACAATTGAGTGGAATAATTTTCTCTATCATTTATATTACTTTTAGGTATAAGAAGATAAAATTCCTAACAATTGAGCGGGATAATTTTTGCTCATATATGTAATGCTTTATAGTATAAGTTAAGATAAGCCAACTAACAATTGAGCGAAAGAATTTTCTCTCTCTTATATAGTGATTTTAGATACAATATTTTAGATATAAGAAGGATTAAGCTATAATCCGTCTAACAATTGAGCGAGAGATGTATCTCTCTCATAAGTAGTGCTTTTAGGTATTGTTGAGGTTTATTCCCGAAGATCCGAAAGCCCAACACAAGCCTTGGATATTGTAGGGATATTGGGTAGGGTTGATTGAAATGTGTGTAAAATATAAAATAGTGAAATGATATCCAACTCAAGAACTTACTTATATTCTGTAATTAAGCAATTACACTGAAACTACCCGAACGGTAGATGAATATGGGATTACAAGGATGGGAGATGTAAATCTATTGCTAAGCTCTGAGTATTAAAATGCTAACCCTTTACAATGATCTAAACATGGGTATTTATACTAAAATGGGGATGGGTAAGGTGGACACGTGGTCGAATCTGGTAGGCTATCACCTCTGCCATGTAAGAACCCACGCCCCCACTTGCTGCCGTCATGATCCAGCATTAAATGCGGCTTCCACTTGCTGATAGCCCGCTCGGGCAGGGTGTTCGGTGTGTGGGGCCCCGCCATAGGTGCTATCCTGCTTATGA